GGTGTAGCGATGGTTGTGGTGGTGTGATGGCGGTGGCGGTAGGGATGGTTGTGATGGTGGTGATGATGGTTGTGCTGGTGGTGGTGATGATGGTTGTAGTGGTGGTGGCGCTGGTCGTGGTAGCGATGGTGGTGGTAGCGATGGCTGCGGTGGGGGTAGCGATGGTTGTGATGGTGGTGATGATGGTTGTGGTGGGGGTAGCGATGGTGGTGGTGGTAGCGATGGTGGTGGTAGCGATGGTGGTGGTAGTGATGGTGGTCGTGGTGGTGATGATGGTTGTGGTGGTGTGATGGTTGTGGTGGTGGTGGTGGTGGTGATGATGGTTATGGTGGGGGTAGCGATGGTGGTGGGGTTGCGGTAGTGGTGGTGGTGTTGGTAGCGATGGTGGTGGTGGTAGCGATGGTGGTGGGGGTAACGATTGTGGTGGTAGCGATGGTGGTGGTTGCGGTAGTGGTGGTGGGTGTGTAGCGATGGTGGTGGTTGTGGTAGTGGTGGTGGTGATGATGTTTGTGGTGGTGATAGTGGTCGTGGTAGCGATGGTGGTGGTAGCGATGGTGGTGGTAGCGATGGTGGTGGTAGCGATGGTGGTGGTAGTGATGGTAGCGATGGTGGTGGTAGCGATGGTAGCGATGGTGGTGGTAGCGGTGGTGGTGGTAGCGGTGGTGGTGGTAGCGATGATAGTGGTCGTGGTGGTGATGATTGTGGTGGGTGTAGCGATGGTGGTGGTAACGATGGTGGTGGTAGCGTGGTGGTGGTAGTGATGGTAGCGATGGTGGTGGTAGCGATGGTAGCGATGGTGGTGGTAGCGGTGGTGTGGTAGCGGTGGTGGTGGTAGCGATGATAGTGGTCGTGGTGGTGATGATTGTGGTGGTGTAGCGATGGTGGTGACGTCTCCACGTGCCGAGGTTGAGCGGCAGCTGCTGGAGGATGTTGGAGGAGGAGGAGGTCGCTGAGCTCCTGGCAGCCGCAGATTCCCGGCTCCACCTCCTCCAGGTTGTTCTTGGACACGTCCAGGTAGGTCAGCTGCTTCAGCCGCCCGATGCACTGCAGGACACGGGGACGGGTGAGTGGGTGGGCGAGGGTGGGTGAGTGGTGTGTGAGTTGGTGAGTTGGTGAGTGGTGGGTGAGTGTGTGTGGTGGGTGAATTGGTGAGTGAGTGGGTGAATGGTGAGTGGTGGGTAGGTCAGCTGCTTCAGCCGCCCGATGCACTGGGGACACGGGACGGTGAGTGGGTGGGCGAGTGGTGGGTGAGTGATGGGTGTGAGTTGGTGAGTTGGTGAGTGGTGGGTGAGTGTGTGAGTGGTGGGTGAATTGGTGAGTGTGTGGGTGAATGGGTGAGTGGTGGGTAGGTCAGCTGCTTCAGCCGCCCGATGCACTGGGGGACACGGGGACGGTGAGTGGGTGGGCGAGTGGTGGGTGAGTGATGGGTGTGAGTTGGTGAGTTGGTGAGTGGTGGGTGAGTGTGTGAGTGGTGGGTGAATTGGTGAGTGAGTGGGTGAATGGGTGAGTGGTGGGTAGGTCAGCTGCTTCAGCCGCCCGATGCACTGGGGACACGGGGACGGTGAGTGGGTGGGCGAGTGGTGGGTGAGTGATGGGTGAGTTGGTGAGTGGGTGGTGGGTGAGTGTGAGTTGGTGAGTTGGTGAGTGAGTGGGTGAATGGGTGAGTGGTGGGTGAGTGGTGGGTGAGTGGGTGAGTAGTGGGTGAGTTGGTGGGTGAGTGGTGGGTGAGTGGGTGAGTTTGTGAGTTGGTGAGTGAGTGGGTGAATGGGTGAGTGGTGGGTAGGTCAGCTGCTTCAGCCGCCCGATGCACTGGGGACACGGGGGGTGAGTGGGTGGGCGAGTGGTGGGTGAGTGGGTGAGTAGTGGGTGAGTTGGTGGGTGAGTGGTGGGTGAGTGGGTGAGTTGGTGAGTTGGTGAGTGAGTGGGTGAATGGTGAGTGGTGGGTAGGTCAGCTGCTTCAGCCGCCCGATGCACTGGGGGACACGGGACGGGTGAGTGGGTGGGCGAGTGGTGGGTGAGTGGGTGAGTGGTGGGTGAGTTAGTGAGTGGGTGAGTTGGTGAGTTGGTGAGTGAGTGGGTGAGTTGGTGAGTGGATAGGTCAGCTGCTTCAGCCGCCCGATGCACTGGGGACACGGGGACGGTGAGTAAGTGGGCGAGTGGTGGTGAGTGGGTGAGTGGGTGAGTGGGTGGGCGAGTGGATGAGTTGGTGAGTGGGTGAGTTGGTGAGTTGGTGAGTGAGTGGGTGAATGGGTGAGTGGTGGGTAGGTCAGCTGCTTCAGCCGCCCGATGCACTGGGGACACGGGACGGGTGAGTGGGTGGGCGAGTGGTGGGTGAGTGGGTGAGTGGTGGGTGAGTGGGTGAGTGGGTGAGTTGGTGAGTGAGTGGGTGAATGGGTGAGTGGTGGGTAGGTCAGCTGCTTCAGCCGCCCGATGCACTGGGGGACACGGGACGGGTGAGTGGGTGGGCGAGTGGTGGGTGAGTGGTGAGTGGGTGGTGAGTGGTGAGTGGGTGAGTGGGTGAGTGAGTGGCTGAATGGGTGAGTGGTGGGTAGGTCAGCTGCTTCAGCCGCCCGATGCACTGGGGGACACGGGGACGGTGAGTGGTGGGCGAGTGGTGGGTGAGTTGGGTGAGTGGTGGGTGAGTGAGTGGTGAGTGGGTGAATGGGTGAGTTGGTGAGTTGGTGAGTTGGTGAGTTGGTGAGTGAGTGGGTGAATTGGTGGTGGGTGAGTGGTGGGTGCGCGAGTGTGTGAGTTGGTGAGTGAGTGGGTGAATGGGTGAGTGGTGGGTGAGTGGTGGGTGAGTGGTGGGTGAGTTGTGAGTTGGTGAGTGAGTGGGTGAATGGGTGAGTGGTGGGTAGGTCAGCTGCTTCAGCCGCCCGATGCACTGGGGGACACGGGGACGGTGAGTGGGTGGGCGAGTGGTGGGTGAGTGAGTGGGTGAGTGGGTGAATGGTGAGTTGGTGAGTTGGTGAGTTGGTGAGTGAGTGGGTGAATGGGTGAGTGGTGGGTGAGTGGTGGGTGCGCGAGTGTGTGAGTTTGTGAGTGAGTGGGTGAATGGGTGAGTGGTGGGTGAGTGGTGGGTGAGTGGTGGGTGAGTTGGTGTTGGTTGGTGAGTGAGTGGGTGAATGGGTGAGTGGTGGTGAGTGGTGGGTGCGCGAGTGTGTGAGTGGGTGAGTTGGGAGTGAGTGGTGAATGGAGTGGTGGGTGAGTGGTGGGTGAGTGGTGTGGGTGTTTGTGAGTTGGTGAGTGAGTGGTGAATGGGTGAGTGGTGGGTAGGTCAGCTGCTTTAGCCGCCCGATGCACTGGGGGACACGGGGACGGGTGAGTGGGTGGCCGAGTGGTGGGTGAGTGGGTGAGTGGTGGATGAGTGGTGGGTGAGTGGGTGAGTTGGTGAGTGTGGGTGAGTTGGTAAGTTGGTGAGTGAGTGGGTGAATGGGTGAGTGGTGGTGAGTGGTGGGTGAGTGGTGGGTGAGTGGTGGGTGAGTTTGTGAGTTGGTGAGTGAGTGGGTGAATGGGTGAGTGGTGGGTAGGCCAGCTGCTTCAGCCGCCCAATGCACTGGGGGACACGGGGACGGGTGAGTGGGTGGGGCGAGTGATGGGTGAGTTGGGTGAGTGAGTGAGTGATGGTGAGTGGTGGTGAGTGAGTGAGTGGTGCGTGAGTGGTGGGTGAGTGGTGGGTGAGTTGGTGAGTGGGCGATTGGGTGAGTAGGTGTTGGTGAGTGGGTGAGTGGGTGCGTTGATGAGTGGTGGTGAGTTGGGTGAGTGAGTGAGTGAGTTGGTGAGTGGTGGGTGAGTTGGTGAGTGGTGGGTGGTGGTGTGAGTTGGTGAGTTGGGTGAGTGGTGGGTGAGTTGGTGAGTGGCGAGTGGGTGAGTAGGTGAGTTGGTGAGTGGGTGAGTGGGTGAGTTGGTGAGTGGTGAGTGGGTGAGTGGTGAGTGGTGAGTGGTGAGTGGGTGAGTTGGTGAGTGGATGAGTGGTGAGTTGATGAGGTGGTGAGTGGGTGAGTGGTGAGTAGGTGAGTTGGTGAGTGGATGAGTGGGTGAGTTGGTGAGTGGGTGAGTGGGAGAGTTGGTGAGTGGATGAGTGGGTGAGTGGGTGAGTTGGTGAGTGGATGAGTGGGTGAGTGGGAGAGTTGGTGAGTGGATGAGTGGATGAGTGGTGAGTTGGTTAGTGGATGAGTGGGAGGTTGGTGAGTGATGGTGGGTGAGTGGGTGAGTGGTTGAGTTGAGTGATGGTGAGTTGATGAGTGGGTGAGCTGGTGAGTGAAGAGCTGGTGAGTGGGTGAGTAGGTGAGTGGGTGAGCTGGTGAGTGGGTGAGTGGTGAGTTGGTTAGTGGATGAGTGGGAGAGTTGGTGAGTGGATGAGTGGGTGAGTTGGTGAGTTTGGTGAGTTGATGAGTTTGATGGTGGCGAGTGGGTGAGTAGTGAGTTGGTGAGTGGGTGAGTGGTGAGTTGGTGAGTGGGCGAGTGGGTGAGTTGGTGAGTGAATGAGTGGGTGAGTTGGTGAGTGGGTGAGTGGGTGAGTAGGTGAGTGGGTGAGTGGATGAGTGGGTGAGTTGGTGAGTGGGTGAGTGGGAGAGTTGGTGAGTGGATGAGTGGGTGAGTGCGTGAGTTGGTGAGTGGATGATGGGTGATGGGAGAGTTGGTGAGTGGATGAGTGGATGATGGTGATTGGTTAGTGGATGAGTGGGAGAGTTGGTGAGTGGATGAGTGGGTGAGTGGGTAAACTGGCGAGTGGGTGAGTGAATGAGTGGGTGATCTGGTGAGTTGGTGAGTGGGTGAGTGGGTGCGCTGGGTGAGTTGGCGCGTGTGGTGGGGAGGGGGGAGTCACCCCAGGTAGTTTCTGGAGGCCGTTTCCATCCAGCCAAAGTTCCCGCAGACTCGAGAGCTCCTCAATTACTTCCGGCTAGAGACCACAACAACACACAAACACACACAACATGTACACAACATGTAACAACACACACAACACACACAACACATACACAACACACAACATGTACACAACACACACACAACATGTACACAACACACACAACACACACACAACACACGCGACAAAGACAAAGCTCCCCCACCACCCTATAGCCTGTAACAGACTGTCGGGGCAAGTGCCGTCATGGCGAGCACCTCGCAAAACACACAAACAAAAACAGCAGCAGCCGCCGTTCGCCACTCAGCGACGGCGCCCGTGCCAGGCTAGGTGCACTTTGAGGCTGTCACGTGGAGGTGGACGGACCCGGCAGGTGGCCACGGGTCGACCCACTGAGACAGACGCAGATTCTCACACCCACCGAGACACCCAAGCAGAAATCATAACACAGTCAAAGATTCCCCGGGTAGCCTGTGACGGACTTTGGGGCAAGTGCTGTTAGCGAGCAGCAGCACCCTGTGAAGGCCGGCACGGCATCACCACGCCCGGCCGCCTTTGTCTCCCCCGTGGCGATGTTTGCCGCGCCACCAGCCACCAGTTTACTCATTTGAGGCTGAGTCGACCTAGGTGGAAGCCAGGAGCGGTTCGGATGATCGTCGCCGGCGTTGGCCGTGAGCGGACGTCGAACTCGGGTCGCCGGGTTCGTAGCGCAGCGTGGCGCTAACCGCTGCGCCACCGCTCCCACACACACGCACACGCGCACAACACACACACGCACGCACACGCAGCACACACACGCACACGCACACACACGCACACGCACACACGCACACCACGCACACACACACGCCCACACACGCACACGCACACACGCACGCACACGCACACACACACACACCACCCACACACACACGCACACACACACACCACACACACACGGGCACGCACACACGCTCACACACACACACACCACACCACACACGCACACACACACACACCACACACACACACCACTCACACACGGGTACGCACCACACACGCACACGCGCACACACACACATGCACACACACGCACACACACGCACACGCGCACACACCACGCCACACACACGGTACGCACACACACACGCACACACACACACGCACACACACACACACGCACACACACCCACACGCACACACCACACACACACACACGCACACACACGCGCACACACCACACGCACACACACGCACACACACACACGCGCACGCACACACGCCACACACATGCGAACACACACCACACACGCACACACACGCACACACACACATGCACACACACACGCACACACACACGCACGCACACACACCACACACACACCACACACACACGCACACACACACGACACCACCACAAACACGCACGCACACACACGCACACGCACACACACACACACCACACGCACAAACACGCACGCACACACACACACGCGCACACCACACACACACACACGCGCACACGCGCACACACGCACACACCACGCACACACACACACTGAACGAACACACACGCACACAAACACACACGTGCACGCACGCACGGGCACGCACAGCCCCAGTGTCGGCCTTTCAAAGTCACTTTAAAGATCACGGCTGCCCAGTGTGAGTGTGCGGGGCGTTTGAAGTCTGCGTCCGTGCCGTACGGATACGCGCGTGCGCGCACGCTCCTATTGTACACTGAACTTCTTTCGTACCGCACGTTGCCAGCCAAGATAATCGGAGGTGCGGGGGTGCGGGCGGGCGGGGTGGAGAGGAAAACTAAAATGCAGTTCTAAAGGAACGATATTCATATCTTAGTTTTTTCCGGTAAAGTCACGTAGGTAAAAAAAATTAAAATTAATAAAAGTAAAATAAAAATAAAATAAAAATCACGACGTTTCGGAGGCAACACAAGCTTCCGTCTTCAGGTGGAACCGTCACAGCACGATTGCTGTATCAAGTGAGAGAAATTCCAAGAAAACAGTAACTCCCATCATTAAGTAGGTCCAGGATTTTGTTGTTGTATGATCTTTATCCATGATGACCGCGGCATTGCCCTTGTCTGCCGAGAGGATGACTATATCATCTCTCTTTTTTAGGTCAGAGCGTTCGTTTTTGCTAATGTTACTAGTGGGTTTCTCTCACTTGATACAGCTATCGTGCTGTGACGGTTCCACCTGAAGACGGAAGCTTGTGTTGCCTCCGAAAGGTCGTGATTTTTATTTTATTTTATTTTACTTTTATTAATTTTTATTTTTTTACCTACGTGACTTACCGAAAAAACTAAGAAGATGAATCCGTGCAGTCACGAAAGCTTCAAATCTAAAGGAACGAGTTTGTCAATCCAGATGATGATCCGAAAGCTGGGCATCTCCCGATGGGCTTCCGAATATCGGGAGGAGAAGAGCGTTCCAGACGGCCGCCGGTTGCTACTGCTGATACTGCTGCTATTGCTGCTGCTGTTGCTGCTGCTGCTGCTGCTTGCTGCTGCTGTTGCTGCTGTTGCTGCTGTTGCTGCTGCTGCTGTGTTGCTGTTGCTGCTGCTGCTGTTGCTGCTGCTGCTGTTGTTGCTGCTGCTGCTGCTGTTGCTGCTGTTGCTGCTGCTACTG